AATTGGTTAAGTTAAGAAATGAATGTTTTTCATTCAATTATTATTCAATTTTATATAAAATATGCGTGTAAAAGAACGTGATCTATTAGACGATTATAAATTTCCTTTAAGTTTAAAGTTTCCTCAAATAAATAGCGACGTGTCTTCGACTTTAAACACAACATATTCGAGTGACAGTAATGGATAAGTCATTTTAAATAGTTTATTTCGTTAATTTATATCAGTTTCTAATTAACTAGATAATAAATATTCTACTACTTAAATTATTATATATTATAAACCCGATTCTTTAAGATAATATCGAAAAGAGGATGTAGATTTAGAGACTTTGTTAGTTAATTTCACATGATTTTAATGTAAATAAATAATTTATTTTCTAATATATATATATATATATATATGTGTGTGTGTGTGTGTGTGTGTGTATTGTCACTTAAGATAATGTTTCTAATCAATAATTGAGCAAACAAGCTGTCTACAATGCATAGTGCACGGAGTAATAACGCTAAAATAATGCATTTTCCGATCACCGTGTCACGCGCTTATCCACGTTGTTTTAATTCAAAAAGTTTTCCACGAAAGGAGTTTTGACTGACAAAAAAAGTATGATGTAAAGGTGGAGTACTAATTTAAGGTGGAGAGCATATATTTTAGATGAAATAAAATTTAAAAATATGATTAAAAATTTGGCTCTTTGTCTTCAATCTGTTCATCGATTTTTATTAGAATAACAGTATTAATCGATTGTTTCTACATAGAGGTCAATGGTTTTTCGATATATCATGTTCCACTTATCTTACTCTAATAGCAATATATTTCTTACCGTTTATATTCATGTATAAAAGATATCCAGCAACGAGTTGCTTAACTTTTCCGGCAAGATTTAAAATTTTGGTGGCGCCGTGTTAACCACCAAAATTTAATATCGTCAATTCCCCTTATAAACAAACCTCCCTGCAAAATTTCAGAAATTTTCGACAAAAGATAAGGGAGTTATTAAGCTTCGAAGTTCATTCGAAGAGCCCTTTTCAATAATGTACCGTTTGCATTTCTCCAATTCTTTATAAAATACCTTTCGAGGCGTTCTAGTGTAGCAAATGCTTCTAGTGTTCTTGGTGTTGAAATCTCAACATCTGCTGATTGCTTATTCGGAGATGCAACATTTCTTCTTTTAATGTTGCTATGGTTCAAACAGCGATATTGAATCATTTCTAATGGAGTCGTGAAGTTGTATTTATGTCACGTATAAAAATTTTTGCGAATAAAAAGACAGTTGGTTGAATTTTGTTTCATACTTCATCGATATTTTCAACGGTTGTTTCTACGGTAACGAGAAGAATTTTCTGAAACGAATTATTTGTATCTAACCGATATGGGTTCTCCTTTTGGAAAGAATTCCCTTATAAGCAATATCCGTCCATTTACTTCTAAATTATTCGTCGTGTTGACAATATCTAAATGAAATAAAAAAAACATGAGAATCAAATTGATGAGGAAATAGGATTTGAGAACAAAACACGTAGGAGTGATGAAATATTCCGGCTTACTGCTACCTTTTTTCCGAAGATGGCACTCTGATTAGGAATATTTCAGATTATCCAATAACGTTTTAACATTTTCCATGAAATGATCAATTCTTCCTTTAATCTTTTGTCTTGTTTTATAGTTCTTTCTTTGTCATTATAGGCTAATATTAGCCTCTACATTTTCGTACAGTTTAAATACACGTTATAGTAAGAGCCTTTGTGAATATTTTACACGTGTATCATCACGTGTTATATGTAACAGAGGAAGTGAGTGTATAGTCATCGATCAAAAAATAATTCCCCCAAGATTTTTATACTTTTGGATTCGGGAGAGCTTGAAATGTCGAGAAATACAAAAATAATTGGTGTTTCCCTGTATATATGAATGTTAGTATGAGTGTGTATGGAGAACACGGATTTTGTTCGTCCCCTTTGAAGCTTAATAACTCCGTGCTTTTTGTCGAAAATTTCTGAAATTTTGCAGAGAGATTTACGATGATTTCGCTGGTTAAAGTTCGAACGGTGGGGGAAATGTCTCCCGGGAGATCTTGGGAAACTGGCCCCTATTTACGTGTTACTAACGTGAAGAAAGTGCGGAAAACCTCACGTGACAGCCTGTTGGTCAAGCGCAAAACCACCACCGACTATTAGTGTTTAGTGGTTTAAAGTGCCGGTCAATTGAAAGTGCCACCGGTGGGCTTTCAATTGACCGTCACTTTAATACACGGAGTTTTATTAATGTCGGTATACGATACAACTCGTGGTGCAGCGACCGAACCGTGAGAGTTTCTTAGAAGACGGATCGATTAGATACAAATCCAAATTTGTTAACACCGTAATACATTTTTCTTAAGTCTTGCTATTTTTCACTAAGCCCCTCGATTACGTTTGATAATGTAAATCGAGCCTTTTACGATTTTGGCAGAATTAAAACACGAAAAACTTCCGAGGTTTGTACAGATTTTCTGTACAAATGGAAAAATGAATAAGCAGTAGTTTATAATTACGAGCATTAAAATTCATATTTTTCATGTTATAGACTACTTTATTCGTAGTTTCCGAATTTCCCTGTGTACAAATCGAAGCGGAAGGAAAACACCGGATACAACGGGAATAAACGTAACTGTTGTTTTTCTGTGTCACAGTGCAATTAAGCGTGATAGATCCAAACATCCCATTTATATTTATATAAATCGCAATTTAGATATATGATGAGTTTGCTCATTTAATGTGCCACCGAAAGAAGAAGAAGATTTAGTATAGGATGAGATAAAATGAAGAAATGTTTAATGAAAAAACAATTGGTTTACGTAATTTATCTGTAGGTGTTCGTTAATACTTTATATCCTCGATGTAAAATATAATGCATTTTTGATATTTTACTGTGATTTTCTTAATTATAAAACTGACAAAGACGTATATTAGCCAGTCGATCTTCATTTTTGTAATGAGTTATAGAAAGAAAAGTTAATCCCGTATAATACGAAACAGAAAAATTTATAAAAATTTACGTTGAGCTTCGTAAATGAATAGGAATTTTAATTCAAAAATAGTGATTGAAATAACGAAAAATAGTATAATTTAAATTAAAATTATAGCTTTGAAAGCGAGTATCACCTACACAATACAGTTAAGTAAAATACCTTTTGTTATATTGTTTGTCTAAAATTTAATATAATAGATCCCGGTTGGAGAAAGTTGTTTCTCTAAGAAAATGGAATTTAGTATATAAACAAACTGTTTATGACGTGGAAAAATCGATATATTGTGTAGGACAGAAAATTGAGCGAAGAACAATTTAAAACACGAGAGTGACTGATTTGAATAAAGATCTACAAGAAAAGACAATTGGTTAAGTTAAGAAATGAATGTTTTTCATTCAATTATTATTCAATTTTATATAAAATATGCGTGTAAAAGAACGTGATCTATT